AACTTTCACATTAACACATTTGTTAAAAACTTCAGCAAGAGTTTTCTTACAAGATTCTCACATTTACAAAAATCATTTCTTTGTTAAAAAGTTTAAAAATTATTTCCTTCAAACTTCACAGTTAATATTATTATTAAAACTATTAATATTAAATGCTTATTATATTAAAATGCTCTTTCCAGTTATGGGCTAACTATTTTTCTGTTTTACTTTAATTTTGAATTGATACCGTGTCTTTCTTGTTGTAACAAGCTTTATCTTATTTCTGTTACGTGGTTATTTTGTTTTGAAGGGTTTAATTTGTTTGTCGTCAAGCTCCAAATTCATTATCCTTGGTTGTTGTTTCATTGCCTTCATGCCTCAGGTGCCTTGCAATGCCAAAACAGAGCCTAAATATCCATAACAAGCCCATTATTACTCAAACAACATTGTTCTAGGAGAAGGTGGTTCATCTTCATCAGATTCAAACTCTGCATTTTCATCTTTTTCCCATTTCCCATCCGTCCCAAGAATCCACCCTATTTGTCTTAGTTTAGATAAATACTGTGCTTTTGAATTTGCATCAAGATGGTTGAGAGTAGAGTGTTGACCATGAGAAAAAAAAGTTGATGGATTTGCTTTGTTAGAGATTGTCAGATCATTGGTTTGACTCGTACTAAATGTAGTTGTGTTACTTTGATTTAACTCAGTATCTTCCATATTTCTACCATTATTGCAAACTGGATTAAACTCAATTCCTTGTGGATTATTTTGCTTTGTCAATGGGTTCACACTGAGAAACCTCTCTCTTTTTGGGTTTGCTTTCTTTGATACATCAGGAGYGTTGTACTTCAAACCAGATGCTTTCCTGTTCACACAACTACTTGTTGAACTGCTTGAAGATTTTTCCAAACCAAAGCTTGTTGATTTACCAAAAAATGGCTTACTAGTATTTGTATCTTGATTGCACATTAAATCTCTCCCTACTCCACTAGCACTCTCATTTAATGAGGGATTTTTCAATGAAGATTCATTCAGTGCTTGCTCTTTTTTCATCTGYGTGAGTCCAAGGAGAGGGTTTTCGGCAAGATCTTGCCTTGTTTTTAAGAAACTTTCCTGTTCTCTTTTTTGTCTGATTTCAGCATCTTCTCTTGCTCTTTCTAACTTGATAAGGGAATCTAAATAGTAAAGTGGTTGTAGTATTCAATTAATAGATATTTTCAAACAGCAGCAGAAGAGCAAGAACAATAACAATGACAGCAGCAACTATGACAAACAGAGATTTTTAAATCTTGCTGTCTGGGTAAATGACTAAGTTTATAACTTTCACTGGTGAACCCAAAAAAATATTCAAGGGAAATGGATATTGTGCATGGCCTGAAATTGGAAAATACGATTTCTTTCTTTCTTTCTCTTTCTTTTCCTTTCTCTCTTTATTTTTCTTTGTTTTTTGGTATTCTTGTCCAGATTATTTTTCCTTAATTTTCTTTTTAAATAGTGGTTTGTTTTGGTTGATGAACCTGCCATTAAAAATCAAAACATATCAATTTGACAGATGCACCTTTGTACCTTTGGCATACAGTTTTCCCATTTGTGTCATTCTCTTGAGTATCATTACTTTGTTTTACAATTGCATATGAAAAGACAAATCAATATGAATACAATTCAAACAAATAATCTTATTCTTAATAGAATGATATGTGGTCTAAATATAAAAAATGGGAAAACACTACAGCCAAACAAGCAAATGAGGTTTATTGGATCAAAATAACTTACTAGCAAGGTGCTTTTTCCCATTGCGATGAATACTCAGCATAGCAGTAGTATCAAATATTGGTCTGTGGCTGCATACAAGACATGCTAATCTAACAATTACACACAATGATAAAGAAATAGTTAAAAAAAATCAAACAAACTTCATGGGCTTCCTGTGTGCTCTCAAAGTAGAATTACCCCAGAAACAAGATTTCAATCTGAAATGAGTTAGAATCAATGAAAATATGATAAAAAATATATAATTAATGAAACAAATATAAAAAGTAATGCTTGCTACTAGCTTYAAAAGTATTCATACTTTCCATTTTTCATTAAAATCGCTTCATCAGAAGGAATGGACTCCAAGAGCAAATCATTTACTCGACGTTTCTAAGACAAAAACCACACAAATTGACGTAAATTTAAACACTTGGACTACTAAAAGGAAAGAATGTTAACTCAATGTTCTATATATTAAATTTAACGAACTTTTTGAAGCTTAAAATCATCAAAGTCATCAGCTACTCTCTTGAACGACATCTTGGTTTTACAAAATACACAGGGTGACCAAATGACACCATTCTGAATAGCCGTTTGGAGACTGGGCAATGCATTGGAAGCAGGTTGTGCAGACAAGATTATATAACGAAGTCAGTTTTTAAAGGGAAACAGGCGACGTCATTTTGAAATATATCTTAGCTTTTTCGATTTGATTAAAGACAAGAAGACCCAACGGAGGGGCAAATCAAACGTATTCTTTTAATTAAAGTAATGTCAAAGCTTTATTGCATTAAAGTCTTTTAATAATAAACTCATAACAGAAAATAAATGTTTGGCTTAAAACATAGTGGTGTGGGGGAGGGGGGTTATAACCCCAACTCCTACCCCCCCCCCCCTGCCTCTAGCCTGCGTTGCCTGTCAAGCCTTATGATCCTATGCCATGGCTTACCCATGTTGTTTTCAATAGTATCCTATATTATCATTGAACAATGGAATGGATAAGAGAGCAAACTATCTTGGATCAGTGAAGCAGGATATTACTATATACATACAGGACATGCATTTTTTTTTTTTGACAATGTTTAACACATCAAAAATGAAAAGTAAATGCAAATTATTACCACGTATATCCAGTAATGTTTTGAGTATCTTTTTTTTTCTTGTTCGAATTCTTTTAAAGAGAGACTGTTCTCACTCACTGAACCAAGTAGACTTGAAATCGGAGAAACAAGAAAGTACTGCTTGTCTTATTTCTGCGTTTTTTTGACAATAAATAACAGGGTTACAAAGCGAACTGATCGTAAATAAAACGTTTGAAAATCCTAACGCTTCCTTTGACTGCACCGAAAAGTTGAGAGCGACCGCAACGACTCCAGCGAAGACAATTGGCAGATAACATAGTAGGGATACTCCAACAACATAGGCCATCATCATGGCTAGTTTTCGCTGTCTAGCAGTGTTATTTGTGATGCCAATAGACTGTGCTTGTATTTGATTTCGGTGGCGTTTGACCAACCTGAAGATCTTACAGTACACTGCAATGATGACGATTAGTCCAGGGATCAGGAGAATGACTGTTATCAGAATAGCTTCTTTAAAATAACTCGCCATATTTAGGGCGGCCACTGCAATTGATACTAACCAGGCTAGTATCCCGGTCAAAGTTACTTTCAAAGGTGTCACTATTGAATTGTATTTAAGGTGTAAAAATAACGCCATGTATCGTTCTACGCTTACTGCGACCATTCCAAGAAACGAGGCCCCACAACCGATCCATCCAACGGAAAACAGCAACCCTTGGAAGAGGCAGGATTTATGGAGTGAATAGTTTAATAGCCATCCCAAAAACATGGAAAGGAAGAGAAATCCAATAAAGAAGTCAGCCGTCGCGAGAACACAAATTAATATGTTGGTCGGAGTTCGAAGCCATTTTTTTCTCAACAAGGCAATGATAACCAAACCGTTACCTACGACTATGGCAGGTGATAAAAACCCGGCCAAAACGGTAGCAACTATCGCCAGAATCCGAAATCGTTCGCCGTAGAAGTCAACGTTGTCTTGATTGTGCTGGCTCTTATAAATACAAGTTTGGAGAGCGGTTGTTGGTGAAATTTGTAGCGTGTTGTTCATGGTTGCTTGTAATGAGGAAGAAAAATAAGAATAACAGATGATGATGCTCGCGCGCACGAAAAGTGACGACTTCTCCAGTGCGTAGATCGTTTTCAGAACTTTCAAAATGATTAATGTGATCTCAGGCAAAAAATTTGCCAGCGAAAAATAGTATTTTTTTCGACTAGGATTTTCCCTGGATGTCAACTAAAATATATAGAGTTCAACGAATTAAGTTCGGCTAATGATCAGATCAATATAAACCGGAAAGTGGCAAAAACTAACGAAAGCCTTGACATTCAATGAAAGTGCGTAATTGATTTTGACGCACCAGGAAGAAGAAGCACTCGACAATGAATATGGAATAAAAAAATCTATTATTTGTAAATGACAATGACTCTGAGGACTACACTATATTCTGGGACTAGAACAGGTGCATCTCAACTCAGTCAAGTCGAAATACAATCTAGGACAATTTGATTCAATCTGTCAAGCAAATCTCGCACGCAAAACGTATGGAACACAGAAAACGATCCTTCTAGCTGTCGATTCGGACAAATTTTGGTAACGGCTCGAGATTAGCTCTTTCAATAGAGCTTTTTATCAACGAGCACCATAGTCTAAGAGATAATATATGATGCCGAGGGGGCAACTACTGGAAAATTCATTGACAGTGCGCTGTGCAGCTGTCAGGATCAGTCTTTAGTTTTTCAATGTTAAGCACTTGTTAAAAGCAAATGAATTTGCTCAGCGGTAGTTGGAACAATATGTGAAACACAGACTTCAAATTATTCGTAAATTACAACATGACCCCGCCACTCTATGCTCTATGATTGCCGTCCGCTTGACATCCCATAATTCAAGATGGCCGCCGCGGCATCAGTAAAAAGGTCTATTACGACGCAATGTTAGATTTATTGCACCAAAAACAAAACAAAACAAAACAAAACAAAACAAAACAAAACAAAAACAAAAACAACAACAAAAAAAAACAACAACAACAAAAGAAACAAAAAAAAACCCAAAAAACAGCGTTTATATCGTTCCCATTATACGAATGCGCACTTATCAAAACGTTATCAAAATTTTGTTGACTTTTCTATTGGATTTGGCGATTTTATCCCCCACATAAACAAGCAGTGACATCATAGTGAAATAGGGCAATTGTTCACAGTTGGAGAGTCCTCAATGTAAGTACAGTTGACATAAWTTTTTCTGTTTTTTGTTTTGCTTTGTTTCTTTCTCTCTTAACGCTAACCTAGGTACGCTAATAAATGGTCCTTTGATTAGGAATGCAGTACTCTATAGAAAGATCGATAGGGGAGCCATGGCATTTGAGTAAAAACGTTAAGAGACTTAAAGGATATTGCAGTGTATAGCATGTCTTGCAAAAACTGTCGCAACTTTCAGTCTTACAACAACAAACTAAGGCAAACTGATTGAATTAACCTTTTTCTGTAGTAGCAGCTTATATCAGGGGAAAATTAATATCCATTAGCCAGAATGCCGCATCTTTTTCGCCAATTTATGAATAGTATGATCATTCCAAGTAAGGCTAGCAATCTGATGGACCATCGAAATAGATCGAGTTAGACTCCCCTAGTAATTTTATCCTTTTTGTTTTACATATAGAACGCAGGAGTGATTTAACTTGACGCGTCGGAACCAAAGCTGCAAATCCAAACAACCTGGGTTGCCGTCTGCAGGTTCACTATACTAGAGAGTTTTAGATTCTCGTTTACGGCAAACGTGAAACGTCAGTTGACCATTGAAAAAAATATTTAAAATTAGTGAAAAGGAATCGAAAAAATCTCCAAGTAGTAGATAAACAAAAGAATACTTGTCTTTGTCGAGAAGGTTTGCAAAAGGTAAAAGAAAATGTAGGGAAACGATGAAAACATGGTCACGTTTGCCGTACGTTTGCGGGAAGGAAAAACGTGAATCTTAATCTGCCTACTATTTACAAAACAACCTCTTTGAAAACAACCGGCTAAAAGCATGATTCCACATCACGGAAATTATGTCACTAGAGGAAGTGCACTGACGTATAACATCGCTCATTCAAGTGATTTATCAACATCAATTATTTACGACTTCAACCCCAGAGCTTGTTTTCGTCTTTGGCTTTTCTGTGACTTCAGTCATGATTCTTAATATAGCTATAAAAATACTTGCTTTAAGGATTTCTATTACCCTGAACGGTTGCAGCTTTATATTGCTATTTTTATTCAGGGATGGCGAGCTAGCATTTTTTAAAGGGGAGGGGGAGGGGGGATAAGGTGCATTATTGTAAAGGATGGGTCTTCTGACTAATATATATGTTATTTTGATAAGGAAGAACTCAAACCAAGAGAAAACAGTTAATTGCCATTCTCGTAAAAAGCGTTATTTTTTTAATTTCATTTTATTCTTTTAAGCTGTTTTCTTTTTCTTATTTCTTGAATGTGCACATCTGTAGTCACAAAATTTCGCCTCTTCTTCAACTTCTATAGGTAATACAGTCTAGTTTTATTTGTTTTATTTCATTTGCTTTGCCGAAGTACAAAACTAATTACATTATTGGCTATACACAGACGACTTAGCAATGAGAAAACAATGCAAGGCAGGAAAGGACACGTAACAGTAGCAGCCTCATATATTATCACTAAAGCATGGAAAATAGACCCTTTGCCAAAATAGCGGCCGCGATTTTGAGTGAGTTAAAATTAAACTGAGAGAAAAAAACAAATACCAGCACTGTAAAGAGCACCTTTTCTTTAGTAACTCCAAGAAGATTCATTATGTCAGTGCTGTATTGATATTTAAATTAATTTAGCGCATTTCGATTTTCGGCCGCCATTTTGGCAAGCGGTCTATGACGTAATCGATCAATAACAGCAGTGCAGCACTAGAAGGTCTTCGTTCTCTGGACTGTTGTTTATATCCTGCTGTCGAGTTTGGTTGTTCAGTACAGATAAAAAAGACTTATTTGTGACTTTACTATTTATTTCGCCTCTAAATTCTTAACTTAGATAAATATAGATTAAATACAATATTCTTCTAAATGCTAAATCCTTCTCCTTAAGGGCTTCTTAGCCTTACTAAAGAATTTTAAATCAGTTAAAATACACTTAACCTAATCTAAATTATTAAATTTCTTCTAAGATATACACCTACTCGCAGAACAACGTTGTCATACAAAAATAGAACATTAGTGATTTAGTGGGATAGGAATTATATTAAAAGACAAAAGAAGATCACTGAAGCTGAACTTTTTCTTTCATGTCTTTTAATGCATTCCTTTCTCACTAAATTACTAATGTTCTATTTTCGTATGACAACGTTCATGCGAGTAGGTGTACTCAACTTAACTTAAGTTAAATTAAACTAAATAACTCACTCTCTCTTCTCTAGTGTACTATTAAACCGGCAGTCTCTCAGTGTTTTCTCACTTTACCAGCACCAGTAATGCGTCTATTTGTCGTTCCTCTGGTTTCTTGTTGAATCATGTAACGGCAACAACTCTCATGGAAATTTCCCCACATATTCTTCGGCCTATGCTGACTTGTTTCTTGCTGCATGTAATACAGCTACTGCTTGGCCACTCATCTTGTCGTAATCAAGGGCTTATCTGGGGGGATCAATTATTAGCTACCCCTAAAATTTTGGCTGGATCCGCCCTTGATAATTCACTGAGCTTTGAGCGTTCCTTACAATCTGGCCCAAACTATAGTCACTGTCATCGTTACTTTAGTGTAGTTATTTCACCTTCAGTTTCGTAGCTCCTCAGTTAACTTGAAACTCTTGGAATTATACCACACAAACGTCTTGACCAGTAACTGGTTCACACCACTACCTCAAACTACACACCCACTCGCTTAAATACTAATGAATATGAATAGAGTGCAAATAATAGAGTGCAAATAATAGAGTGACTATAGTAAATCCGTGAAACTTTAGTAATACTAAATAGCCCAATTTCATGCCAATTCCGTTGTTTTCTATTGTTTAATTAGCACTATTTTGTACTATTTAGTAATTAGATTTACTGCACCGCAACAAAATGCGCAAAATCGTGTTTACGTCAGCGTATTCGAAAATTTGCGGTTACGGCCGTCCACACGTATCCGTATTCGGAGCGTATTCGAAAATTTCCACTCTGGAGACCGTTTTTTGAAAATGTCCGGATACGGATACAAAAATTTYCGGACATGTGTGGACGCAACCCGTATCCGCAAACAAAATTGCGGATACAAAAATTTCCGGATACGTGTGGACGGGGCCTAAAGTTTCACGGTTATATTGTTTGCCGTCTATCTATCTATTTCACGGGTATATTAGAGTGCTCACACTAAATCCGTGAAACAAATTCTAATTTTTAGCACTAAATAGTGATAATTAAACAATAGAAAACAAAGGATTCTGTATGAAATARTACTAATTRGTACTATTTAATGTTCACGGTTTTAGTGCGTGCACTCTATTAAAACACCTTCCCACATTTACACACATTCCCACGAGCCCGTGAATTCGCGCGTGTAACACCCGCACTCCTAAGGGTTTCCATTTCTGTCACGGGTTCATGGACAAAACTTCTCATAGAATTCGATCCACCACTTCGTCGTCGTAGTCCAAGTATTTTCAAGATCGAGTGCCGAAATCTGAAAAATGAGAACAAGTTTTGAGTCAGTCATTTCCTATACTTATTGCTTTAAGGCCCCGTCCACACGTATCCGGAATTTTTTGCGGATACGGGTTGCGTCCACATGTGCCCRCAAATTTTTGTGTCCGTATCCGCAAATTTTACGAAAACGGAGACGTGTGGACGGTGAAAACGATTCGAATACGCTGCGTGTGGACGCAAACATTTTCGTATCCGTAAAAAAAAAATTCCCGGATACAAAAATCTCCGGATACGTGTGGACGGGGCCTTAATTTGCCACATATATACAGTCAATGTCATTAACGTTGTCCACCGAAAAAAGACATTTACACATTTACACATTTA